TGTCCTGATATATGTGCGGTAAAAATTACTAGACCATGAGTCAAATGTTTGGATAAGTTGGTCTGGAATGTGAACACTGGCTGCAGTGGCCTGGCCTGGGGTCTAGCCTGCAAATGGTACAACTTCTTGGAGGCACTGGACCTGAAATCTAGCAAGAGAGTCGGCGATTGAGTTATGTTTTCTTGGGATATGCTAGGGTTGAAACATAAAACTGTTGGATTCTGCTTTGAGATACCAGTCGTCTCATTAGTTACATAATCGCGAATGACTTGGAGCAGCCTTTATTAATAATGTGCACTGTTGCCATATTGTCACAGTTGAACATGTTCCTATAAAATAGTCGCTACCACAATTGCAGGGTACAGTTCTTGGAATGCGATTGACAATGATGGGTAAGATCCTGGCGCCACCATTCATAAAACTTCACTGGCACGAAAGTAGCCACAATGCCCAATGCCATTAGCATCTGTGAAAAGCTGCTTGTCCAATACTAGGGTTGCTTTGACCTCACAAAACATTGAAACACCATTCCAGTACAAAAGGAATTTGTACCACACCAATAGGTCCTGCTTACTTCCAGGTGATAATGCAATTTCGTAGCATGATATTGGTTTAGCAGAGCCGTGCTCCTCTAGCCATCGACTGGATTTCTGATACTGCATCATCAATTTTGACGTAGGAGAGCGAAAATGTGTCATAAGTCTATGATGATAAGTCTACAGTTAGGTGTTTCTTGCCAGAATACCTCTTTTCCACAATACCAATTGGACTGCTGCATGAGCGGTGAAAGGAGATGAAGCGAAAGGTCCAATAAGATATGCTATATAAAGTTCTGACTTGATTTGTTCAGAAACAAGTTCAGAGATAAAGGCTGTGTCTGGGTGATTAGAAAGTTGTTGGCTAGGAATGTCAATGTTACTTCAGGTGGAGGCTTTGCTTGGCAGTCAGGCTGTTTTTGACTGGTTGTTAGAAGTACATTTTGCTTGACATTTATGGCACATATGCAAATTAACTTGTCTTTTGGCTGCAAGAAAAAAAATGTGTTTACCTTATTGCAGATCTCCTTCTCTTGGTAGTGAGTACGTGTTCTGCCACTTTTGTCATGAGTTGCAGTGCTGGAAAAGGTACCTGAACCTTAGATGTAACTAGGCCTTTTTCTAGATGTAGCGAGTTGAGGACAGATTTCAGTGGCATAGGCCACATTGCTACACAGATTATATGTATCACATTACATTGGCATATCGACAATGTCGCGTTCACATGTGTCTAATTCCTTATGACGGCTTGGGTACACATCACACATAACATTTTTGAACATAGAGAAAGCAAGAATTCCTGTATTGTAAGCAAGCAAGCTTTCCTGTCAAGC